AGCCCAGCATATACCACCCTGCAACACACAACAGGTCCCAGGTTGTTCTGTGGTATTCAGTGGACAGCACCTTCCTATCTGTAGTGTGCCTCCTCCAGTAAGTATGGTTCTCTAGTTATATCGACTGGACTTAAACTTAGGAGGTGGAAAGCCTGGAGTTTCATTGCTCATCCAGATTTCCCTGATGGAAAGTAAAAACTATTATTTCCTGGTGTAAATTTTAATGGTATAAATAATATGGTGTATTATATAGGGCAAGCTTTAGAACTAGTAAATATATTGTGCTTCTTTCCTCCTTTCATAGAATTATACCATAATCTCATGCATTTTTGACAAAAATTGGTACTGGTTTATGATCTGGTCTCTTATCCTATCTATTAACAGCTATTTTACATACATTCAGATGCTTACAGGAAAAGACTTGTCCCAGTTTAAATGAGACAAGGGTCTTTTGCTGAGGATGGATTAGGAGGAAAAGACCCAAACTTCTCTTTCCAAGCAATTATAAATCCAAAATTAACAGGCTTCGATTGAAGAAAAACAAATTATGGAAAAGGGAAAATAACAGCCCTTTATTAAAGGTATGTGTGTATTAACAGGAACACGAAAAAACCAAGTAAAATAACTAAGTAATACTCCTATATCCACCAATAATCCCCTTCAAGAACAAAACCGATAAACCGGTAAAAGGAAAAATAGTTCAATTTCTTGCACCCTTTGGTGCGGTTCCAACCACAGTCAGCAGGGGGCGCCGTCAGGTCACTGGAGATGCAAAATTTGTAATGTCCTGTACCATTCACCAGGTGGCGCTGTTGGGTCACTGAAGGTGCAAAAACTTGTAGTGTCCTATTGTAGTCACCAGGTGGCGCTGTTGGATCACTGGGGAAGTAGAACTTGTGATGTCCAGTGCCTGTCACCAGGCGGCGCTGTGAGATCCTTGGCTGCCGCCAGGTGGGGGGGGAGGAAGAAGGGGAAGGAAAACAACAGCAATAAACCAGAAAGTTCTCCCAATGGAAGAAAACTCACAAACTTCAACTGATTAGGGTCCGTTGTAAGCAGGGTCTGCAGCCAGCCACAACTGAGCCAAGAGCAGCAGCCAGAACTCCCCTCCGACAGGAAAGAGACAAAGGAACCCGGCAGTGTCTGCAGCCCGCAGCCGGCTCTCCTCCAGGGCAGAGAGAGAGAGACTCCCCTCTCCCCCCAACCTCCACCCCCTTCCAGTCACACACCAACCAACCCCCTCCCTTCATTGTCAAGGAAACAAATCGGCCATTAGTGGGCTCCGGCCGATTCTTTTGTTCACCTAATGGGCAATATACAGAGCACACACACACACACGGCAGGGGGGAAGGGGAAGAAAAAATTCTTTTCTAAAATCAGAACTATGACAAGACTTCAAAAGTTCATCAAGTACTATTAGGAATCTCACCTAGAACTTTTATCTGGAAATGGTCCTATAAAATGGTACAGCTATAGCTAGCAACTCTTTATGAAAGACAAGCAAAGAAACAGAGAGGATTGCCCAGTAGTTTGTTCCTTCTGGGATTTTTTAAACGTATACATACGGTTCGTGGGGGGTTTTGGATTCCAATTTGAGAGGAAAAACATGAAGGAGTAGCTCAAGCATATAGAGCTCTTCTACTGAATTGGAGCCCCTGGTGGTCTAGTGGTAAGGGCGCGGCGCTGTCACCGCCGAGACCCGGGTTCGATTCCCGGTCAGGGCCACTCCCGGGCAGATGGAGCTCGTTAACCCTTAAAAAGGCAATCCATCTACATCCTAAGGACCTCGCTGCCACCGTCCAAGCTCGCTTGGCCCCGGCAGATGAACCTTAGGATTAAAGGGTGGGCTCAGTTCCGCGCACACTGTGTCTCACCTAAAAAATCCAATGCGCAGGCTGGAAGGTGTAAAGACCTTCCCCGGATCTTCGCTCGCGAAGACTGGCCATTAATTAATACTGAATAGGTGACAGGCTGTCTGAGAGCTTGTGGATAGGGAACAGAGAAGAGACTAGTAAGGGGGTGATATCATGCTGTGAGCTTCTTAAAGACCATCTGATCAGTGTGAAGAAAGGAACAAGACCTTCTTTAAACAACTGAGGGAAGTCTCCAGATTATAGACCCTGGGTGTTATGGAGGATTTGAAACTTCCTGACATCTGCTGTAAGATTAACAATGGAACAGAAACATCTCAGGAGGTTTCTGAAGGGTGTTGTGGGGGGTGAATGATGATGAAAACTTCTTAATAGAGGTGTTGGATAGGCCAACTTGGGGAATGAACAGCTGAATATGCTGCTCATAAACTAATTGAGGATGTGGCAATCAGTGGCAGTCTTGAGTGGAGATCAAGATCCTGAGGGGAGCAAAGTACAGACCTTGCATTTCAGACCATTTTGTGTGCAGCTTTGGCTTTACCTATTAAACTATATTTATCTCAACCCATGAGTTTTCACACTTTTACCCTTCTTATTATCTTCCCCATACCATTGTGGGGGAGGGAAGCAAGCAAGCAGCTGTTTGGTGTTTAGTTGTTTACTGGGATTACAACATCACAGTCCTTTTTGGTGCCCTTTTTGGGGATCAAAGGGTTTGAGATAATGGCAGGAGTGTATTGGGGGGAACTTATTATATCTGTTTAACAATTGCTGGTTGTAATGCTGACTAATCTGTCCTTGGCATTGGTTTATCTGATCCATCCCATGCTTCCTTTTTTTGCTGTACATCAAATTTGAGACAAGAGCAGGTACAGAGAACAGTTGTTAACAATGGTCTAGAACTTCACCCCTGAACAAGTGTAAGATCCTGATTAAGTGACAGAATGCTTGAAAAAAGAATGCCCTGGCTATGTCAGAGATACAACTTCTCACACTGTTCTAGGGCCTGGTCTACAATTATTGAGAACTATTAATAGAATCATAGAATCACAGAATAAACTAGGTTGGAAAGGACCTCCAAGATCATCAAGTCACACCCTTGATCCAACACCACCATGGTTATTAGGCCATGGTACTCAGTGCCACATCCAGTCTCTTCTTAAAAACCACCAAGGACAGTGAATCCACCACCTCCCTGGGCAGCCCATTCCAATATCTGATTACTCTCTCTGTAAAAAATTTCTCCCTAATATCCAAACTAAACCTCCCCTGGCAGAGTTTAAGACTGTGCCCTCTTGTCCTACTGATGGTTGCCTGGGAGAAGAGACCGATGCCCACTTGGCTACAACCTCCTTTGTTGTAGACAGTGATGAGATCCCCCCTGAACCTCCTCTTCTCCAGGCTGAACAACCCCAGTTCCCTCAGCCTCTCCTCATAGAACTTGTGCTCGAATCCCTTCACCAACCTCATTGTTCTTCTCTGGACCTGTTCCAGCACCTCAGTGTCTTTCCTGAACTGAGGGGCCCAGAAGTGGACACAGTACACCAGGTGTGACCTGACCAGCTGTCCCAGTTTAAATGAGACAAGGGTCTTTTGCTGAGGATGGATTAGGAGGAAAAGACCCAAACTTCTCTTTCCAAGCAATTGTAAATCCAAAATTAAGAGGCTTCTACTGAAGGAAAACAAATTATGGAAAAGGGAAAATAACAGCCCTTTATTAAAAGGTATGTGTGTATTAACAGGAACACGAAAAAAACCAAGTAAAATAACTAAGTAATACTCCTATACCCACCAATAATCCCCTTCAAGAACAAAACCGATAAACCGGCAAAAGGAAAATAGTTCAATTTCTTGCACCCTTTGGTGTGGTTCCAACCACAGTCAGCAATGGGCACCGTCAGGTCACTGGAGATGCAAAATTTGTAATGTCCTGTACCATTCACCAGGTGGCGCTGTTGGGTCACTGAAGGTGCAAAAACTTGTAGTGTCCTATTGTAGTCACCAGGTGGCGCTGTTGGATCACTGAAGGAGTAGAACTTGTAATGTCCAGTGCCCGTCACCAGGCGGCGCTGTGAGATCCTTGGCTGCCGCCAGGTGGGGGGGGGGGAAGAAGGGGAAGGAAAAACAACAGCAATAAACCAGAAAGTTCTCCCAATGGAAGAAAACTCACAAACTTCAGCTGATTAGGGTCTGTTGTAAGCAGGGCCTGCAGCCAGCCACAGCTGAGCCAAGAGCAGCAGCCAGAATTCCCCTCCGACAGGAAAGAGACAAAGAAACCCGGCAGTGTCTGCAGCCCGCAGCAGGCTCTCCTCAGGGCAGAGAGAGGCTCCGCTCCCCCCCCAGCCTCCACCCCCTTCCACTCACACACCCCAGTAGCCCCCCCCAAACTCCTCCCCCTTTGTTGCTAGGAGACTAAATTTGGCCATTAGTGGGTCGGGGCCGATTTCTTTGTTCACCTGATGGCTCATCCACAGAGCACACACGCAGGGGGGAAGGGAAAGAAAAATTCTTTGCTGAAATCAGAACTATGACACCAGCACTGAGTACAGGGGAAGGATCACTTCCCCGCTCCTGCTGGCCACACTGTTCTTGATGCAGGCCAGGATACCATTGGCCTTCTTGGCCACCTGGGCACACTACTGGCTCATGTTCAGCTTCCTATCAATCCAAACTCCCAGGTCCCTTTCCACCTGGCTGCTCTCCATCCACTCTGTCCCCAGCCTGTAGCTCTGCAGGGGGTTGTTGTGGTCGAAGTGCAGGACTCGGCACTTGGCCTTGTTGAACTTCATCCTGTTGGAATCAAACCATCTCTTCAGCTTGTCCAGGTCCCTCTGAAGAGCCCTCCTGCCTTCCAGCAGATCAACACACCCCCCCAACTTGGTGTCATCTGCAAATTTGCTAATGATGGACTCAATCCCCTCATCCAGGTCATCAATAAAGATATTAAACAGAACTGGACCAAACACTGATCCCTGGGGGACACCACTAGTGACCAGCTACCAACTGGATGCAGCACCGTTCACCACCACTCGCTGAGCCCAGCCATCCAGCCAGTTATTCACCCAGCAGAGTGCACCTGTCCAGGCCATGGGCTGCCAGCTTTTCCAGGAGTATGCTACGGGAGACAGTGTCAAAGGTTTTGTTGAAGTCCAGATAGACTACATCCACAGCTTTCCCCTCATTCACCAGTCACCTGATCATAAAAGGAGATCAGGTAGGTCAGACA